TGGTTCGCAGCCTTGGCTACACAGGAGAATCATCTGGGGAGCTTTTAAAACATACGAATGTTCAGGCCCCACCCCACACCAATTAAGTCGGAGTCGCTAGGTTTTGGGCCTGGACATTCGTATGTTTTAAAAGCTCCCCAGGTGATTCTCATGTGCAGCCAGAGCTGAGAACCAGTGATCTAGGTGGTTACTGGAATCAGGTTTGACCCAATACTCCAGCACTTCATGGCAGAGGAGACAGATGGGGCTGCCTCATGTGTGCCACAGTTGCCCTGCCAGCTCGTTGATTCTACCTATGATACTTAATTGAATCCTTAGTTAGGCATACATGCCTATTGGAAAGCATACGTCACAGAAAGAGGATGTGAATTTTGAGATTGTTTTCTCCTACTCACTTAACCTAAAATGCATGGATTCCCTTATGCCTCTGGCCTCGAGGTCCCAGTTAGCACTGGAATTTGCTTCCCAGGGCATATCCACTTCACTCCTGTAAGGAATGCCTGAGGTTCAGCACATTTCAAATCCTGCATGTGATGCTGTCACGGGACATTTGTTTTATTATGAAATATTTCAGACACACAGACAAGACACAAGGAAAAAAAATGCCTTAACAGACATCTGTGTACCTATCACCCAGTTTGCTTTCTGCCTTGGTTTAGGAATGAAACAATGCAGTAGAGATGAGTGTCCTTATGTACTCCTGCCCTGGCCCATTTCCCTTCCTCCCACCCTCCCCAGACAGAACCACTCTCCTGAATCTAGCGTGCCTCATTTCCACGCATATTGATCATCAGCCCCATTTGAGAGAAGAGGAAACTGAGGCTCAGGGAAGTAAAGGAGTTTTCCCCTGAGTTACACAAATTTATAGTAGGTTGTAGAGTCCAGAAGCCCCAGGACAAGGTACCAAGCAGTCACCTCCCAGCATGCTGGCCCTGCAGTGCCCCCATCTGGGGACCTCCCACCCCATCATTCTGTCAACACCTCCTTTACAGGCAGGGCTGGCCCAGACCAGGCCCAGCACGGCCCAGGACCAAGCAGAAATTGTGGCCTTCTCCTCACATCTCCTGGTTCCTGCCCTGCCTAAGAGGCCAGGCTTCCCGAGACCCAGGCCAACCCCTCCTCTGTTTCCTCTCTGGGCCACTGTCCAGCCCAGCTCTACCCCACCTCCCCCAAGCCCAAAGCAAAGAGCCTGTCTGTGCAGCCAGATTTCCCCACTAGGCCACTGGGGCCTGGGCTGAGGCAGGGGGGCTGCAATTCTGTTCTGTGGGTCCTCCTGGTTTAATTAGCATGCTGCCTGGAGTAGCAGGCCTAAGAGGTGGTGGGCAGGCGCCGAGACACTCTCCCTGGGCCCCAAACCACTGCCTGCCTCCACCTCCCCACTTCCTTGCCAGCAACAGAGAAAGCCTGTGTGCAGTGGAAAGGAAGGCAGTGGCTGACACCTCCACACTGAGGAATTGGGTGGGGAGAGGCAAGCAGAACAGGCATAAACACAGGGAGAGAATTGCTTCCCTTACACATTAAGGAAGGGGAGGGAGCAGGGGAGGAAATGGCTATTTACGAAGCACCTACTTACAGGCGGCCACACATTATTCTAGTTGCTCCCCATAGCCACCCTATGTGGGACACAGAGTGGCTTCTCGGTACAGAGGGAAAAACTAAGGATGAGAGAGGTGGAGTCAGAGGCCCAAGGCCAACAGCTAAAAAGAGGGAAAAGGAATCTGAACCCAGGTCCACCTGGCTCCACATGCCTTTCCAAGGAAGCAGCCTGACTCCACAAACCTCTTCCTTCCCTGGAGGCCTCTTCCTCCAAGAAGTCCTCCTCTTTAGTGGAGGAATGGCCAGTTTAGATGGGTAGGCAGAGGTAAGGAGAGTGGATGGACAAGAGGCATAATTTACTCTTCATCCCGAAGCCCCCAGTTTCAAATTGACAAACTTCCACTCTGGAGGCTTCAGGCTGCCAGTTTTTCCTTCCTAGCCTCCAGCCCTGTCCCAGGCAGACCCTGCTTCATCTAGGGACCTTCACCTTAAGGCACTTTCTCCCACATGATTCCACCTCGACCCCTGAGTAGGACCCATATGTTCATAGGCTGCAGGACTAGAGGCCAGCCCAGGGTATCTCAAGATGTGGATTATGGTAAAAGCCAGAATACAGCTACCACTTATAGAGAAATTAATATGTGCCAGGCACTGGGTGAAGACCTTGGCACACATTAACTGCTTTGATCACTACCGTGGAGATACTATTATTTCCCCAGTTTAAGACCAAGGAATTGAAGCACAGAGAAATAGAGGAACCTGCTCTGGGTCTATTAGGTGGCTGGGCTCCAAAAAAAAAAAAAATGCTCTGAGGAACCCTGGAAGACAGGGCTGGCTGGTAAGAGGGAGGAGAGGCTGGTAGTCTCAGAGAAGAGTCTGAGGAACGAGGATGGCCATGGGAGAGAACTCCCACAGTCTCTTGGCTCCAGCTGGAAGCTCTCCAGGCTTTGCAGTGGGGCTCCTGCTCTGCCCCTGGAGTGTGTGCCAACTAACCCCTTCCAGAGGGCTGGTGTTGCTTGGAGCCATCTGCAGCATGTCTTTCTTGCGGAGCTGAGGCTGTGGGGTGAGACAGCACAGGCTTCAGTCCCCTGCCCTGCAGGGCAGAGCCTAGGGGAGGCCCAGCAGGTGGGAAGTTCTGAGCAGTTAGACCCTAGCTTGAAGGCTCCACCCATGCACCTCTTTTCCATATCTGGGCCTGAGGCCTCTAGGCTCTTAGAGAAAAATTGCTAAAAATCAAATTGCAATTAACAGAGGCAATTATCCACCTATTAGAAAACGTCCCCTGAGTCAGGCATGTGCTGTGAGTTGCCTGGGCCCCACGGAGCAGCTGGGCCCCAAGGGAGGCCCTAGAGCACGGCAGCAGCCAGGAGTCATGGGGAGGCAGGCAGCACACTAGGTCTGGTGCGGGGTGGGAGGCTCTGAAGAGCCCTAGGGGTATCCAATAGAAACATGGGTCTAGCTGTGCCCTGGGAAAGCAGCCCCAGCCTGAGCACTGGCCCTGACGCTACAGACCCTCGTTTCCCAGCCCCTTTCTGGCCCCTCCTCTCCATTAAGCTTTCCTAGAGGGCAGACCCAGGGCAGTCTGTGTGTGTGGAAAGAACAAAGGAAAGAAAAATCACGCAGCAGTAACCCTCCGGGAGCGATGATAACATTTTCACTTGAAAATTACCAGAGAACAGATTGTCTTATGCAAATTATATGCAAATCACTCTCCGGTTGGTCCTCTCCTAGCACTACCCAGAGTTCTTCCAGCTCTTTCCCTGGCTGGGTATGATGAGGGAGGGAGAGGGCTCTTATGGAAATCAGGGTTTAAGGGGAATTCTGCCTAGAAGCATGCGGATGAGATGACCTCTTGGCTTTCCATCCATTCCAGCTCTCTGAGTCTTGCTGCATTTGCATGAATCCTGTAGAAACCCCACTGCCTCCTGGCTGGACTGCTTTCAGACCCCAAATCCAATGAAGGGTTCTCTGCTGTGTCACCAGGACTGTGCATTTTCAGAAGATATTTGATGTTGGTTGCACAGAATAGAAGCATGAGACCAAGAATCAAGAAAGCAGCGGAGGGCTCTCAAATCTCTCTCCAGCCCAGACCTCACCGCTGGGATCCAAATGCAACCATTCCAGTCCCGGATGTCCCGTGACTCAACCTACCCTCTGTTTGCTCCTCCTCTGTGTTCCTTCCTGACTCAGAGCCTGGCAACCTCATCTCATAAGATGCCCAAGCCAGAGCCTGGGAATCAGCCTTGACCTCCACCCGTCCCCTGCCTTTAATCCTTCCTGTCCCATCTACCAGCTACAATTTTTGGGAAATTTGTCCCCTCTTCGCTGTCCCCAGGGCCACAATGGTAGTTTATCTATCGCCTTCCCTGACCTATTCCCAAGGTCTTCTGTCTGGGTTTTTGCCTCCAGCTCAGCCTCTTAGATCTGCAGACCCTGCTGCCAGAGTGGTCTTTCTACAAAACAAACTGACCATGCATAAAGTCCTCTGTGGCTTCCCAGGCCCATCAAGTTCAGTCCAGACACCTTGCACTGGTGCACAAGACCTGTAAGATACAGGCTGCAAGTCCACCTCCTACACTGTCCCACATGCCCTCTACAGGCCTCACCGCATACCATCTTGTCTCTCATCAGTCACCAAACACACTGCATTCTGACAGCCCTGCTCAAGCTGTTCCCTCCTCTAAAACATCTTCCCCTTCTTCTTTCCCCACCCCCAATGAAATTATATTTATTTTTCAATAAAAGCTTCATCTGGCAGACATTCACTGTCTGCCAATGCTCCCCACAACACACACACACTTCACAAACACACGCACACCCCTCCCAGCTGTCATTGGGTTTCTTCTTCCTCAGTTCTCCCCAAGTCTTGTTTCTATAACAGAAATTAATTCACATTGTGTTCTCAGTTCCTAATTAGTGATTAATGAATGAAAGAATAAGAAGTATGAAAAGTTTGTGAGTAAATGGGGCCTGGGTTTGATTCCTTGCTCCAGATGGGTGAGTTACCTCTTTGAGTCTCAGGTTCCTTACCTATAAATCGGGGAAGTAAAACCTACCTCATTGTGAGAATTCTTTGAGATGAGGCATGGAAAGTCACCTAAAGCAGTCCCTGGGATCCAGTAGATGCTCTGGATGAATCTTTAGCTATCTGAACTCAGAGTTGGCTTCAAGAACATGTGCCTTCTCAGCTAGCGTGACCCGATGGTCATTGTCTCTATGGTCCTTGCTCTGGATTGACTCTGAACCTTGGATCCAGCCTCCATTCCTAAGAGCTGGCCGGAGACCCCATGCCAGGGAGGTGCCAAGGCACATTTCCTAGAGTAAGGCCTATCACACCTCCTCAGACCTCACTGGCCCTCAGGGGAAGCAGTGGCGAGATATCTGCCCTGCAGGGGACCAGAAGTCCTTTGAGTGGATCAAGGCATATCAAAAGGGGATGGGGCAGGAACTGGAGGAGCCAATGTTAACTCTGCCAGTAGAGACCTACATCAGTGTGGGGGTCTCTCTGGACTAAATTTCTGCATTCTTCACATGGGGGTGATAATACATGCTGGCCATGACATGATTGTTGTGATGATTGTAATACTGTGTGTAACATGACTAGCCCAGTGCTTAGCACACAGTAATAATACAGCCGCCAGTATTTAATGAGCACTTACTGTGGGCATACCATGAAATGATCGTGTGCACTTGTTCATTCAATTCTCAAAGAAACCCCGTGAGATAAGTATTATATTATCACCTCCCTTTGATAGATGCAAAAGCTAAGGAACAGAGAGGCAAAGCTATTTGCTCATGGCTGCACAGCTTGTTAATGGCAGAGCTAGATGATTTTTTATGTAACAGCTTTATGAAATATAATTCACATATCACACAATTCACTCATTTGAACTGTGGCTTTTAATATGTTCACAGAATAGAGCTAGATTTTCAACTCAACTTTCTGATTCCAGATCTCACTTGCATAGCCTCTGCATTACACAAGATAATGCTCATAGGCTATGCAAATAAGTTCCCTTTCCCTGGGGCCTTTATTCACCTCTGCACCTGCAACGGAAACCTCAGCCTTCCTCTGACATAGACCCTACTCTTCCTGCTTTTCTAAAGTAGAGCTGCTGGCTTGGGGCCACGCTATGGGGTCTTGAGGCAGAGGAATGGAGATGACCCTAGGAAGTAGTCTCTGCTGCTTGCTGGGCCCTTGGTCCTGGGTTGACCTCTGGGTTAATCCTGCCAGCTCCTCAGTACCCACCACAATATTCACTTCAGCACATCTAAGTTGAATCAGTTGAGCTGCTTTCTGTGCCCTGCTCTATACCCATTTGGCAAAGACTCTGAAGGATGCGGAGAGGAAGTTGACTGGGCCTTTCTCTCCAGGGCCTTGAACACAGGTTAGTGGGTGAGATACACAATCACCAAGCTTACACATGCCCAGCATTGGAATCCCAGGCAGCAAAGGCGATTCCAGGCAGGGATTCAAAGAGAGCTTCGCAAAGGGGGTGGCCTTCAAAGTACACCGGGAGGACCTATAAAATTTAGATTAGCCCTGTCCAATAGGAATATCATGCACGCCACAGATGTGAGTCACATATGTAGTTTGAAATTTCTTAGTAACCATATATGTTTCTTTTTTTCTTTTTCTTTCTTTCTTTCTTTCTTTTTTTAAAGTGGAGTTTTGGCTCTTGTTGCCCAGGCTGGAGTGCAATTGCACAATCTCGGCTCACTGCAACCTCTGCCTCCCAGGTATAAGTGATTCTCCTGCCTCAGCCTCCCAAGTAGCTGGGATTACAGGCATACGCCACCATGCCCAGATAATTTTTTGTATTTAGCAGAGATGGGGTTTCACCATGTTGGTCGTGCTGCTCTTGAACTGCTGACCTCAGGTGATCCACCCGCCTCAGCCTCCCAAAGTGCTGGGATTACAGGCATGAGCCACCGTGCCCGACCATATGTTTCTTTTTAGTTAATTTGTTTTTTTCTGTAGAGACAAGGCTTCACTTTGTTGCCCAGGCTGAAATGCAGTGATATGATCACAGCTCACTGCAGCCTCGACCTCTTGGGCTCAAGTAATCCTCCTGCCTCAACCTCCCAAGTAGCTGGGACTATAAGTCTGTGCTACCATGCCCAACTAATCTTTACTTTTTATCTTATAGAGATGAGGTTTTGTTATGTGGCCCAGGTTGGTCTCAAACTCCTGGGCTCAAGTGATCTACCCATCTCAGCCCCTCAAAGTGCTGGGATTACAGGTGTGAGCCACTGCGTATGGCCTAGTAGCCATATTTAAAAAGTAAAAGGAAACGAAAGTTAATTTTAATTATATCTTTTAAAACCCAACATATCTCATTTTAACATGTAATCAAGATCAGAAAATTATGCAGATATTTGATATTCTTTTTTCATACTGAATCTTCAAATTCTGGTGTGGACTTTACACTTACAGCACATCTCAGTCTGGACTAGTAACATTTCAAGTGCTTAATAGCCACATGCAGCTTGTGCCCACCAGAATGGCCAGCACAAATTTAGCCATTCACAGAAGCTAGAAGGAAGGGGAAGGGCAATTTAGGTTGAGGGAAGAGCATGGCCAAGGTTAGGTGTGTGACCTATGAGGAGATCTTGTTTTGTTTGTTTGTGTAAATAATAATCGTGGTTCACAGTATTAAATTTTAAATAATGAAGTTTATATTTTTCACTAGGTAATAAATTCACTTAGTTCAAAAATTTAAAAGTAGAAGAGACAAGTAGGTTAACATACACAGCAAATGCATTTTTTAAAATTATTCTTTAAGTTCTGGGATACATGTGCAGAACATGCAGGTTTGTTACATAGGTATGCACGTGCCATGGTGTTTTGCTATACCCATCAACCGTCATCTACATTAGGTATTTCTCATAATGCTCTCCCTCTCCTACCCTCCCACCCCCTGACAGGTCCTGGTGTGTGATGTTCCCCTCCCTGTCTCCAAGTGTTCTCATTGTTCAACTCCCACTTATGAGTGACAACATATGGTGTTTGATTTTCTGCTCCCGTGTCAGTTTGCTAAGAATGATGGTTTGCAGCTTCATCAATTTCCCTGCAAAGGACATGAACTCATTCTTTCTTATGGCTGCATAGTATTCCATGTTGCATATGTGCCACATTTTCTTTATCCAGTCTAACACTGATGGGCATTTGGGTTGGTTCCAAATCTTTGCTATTGTGAATAGTGATGCAATAAACATATATGTGCACTTGTCTTTATAGTAGAGTGATTTATAATTCTTTGGGTATATACCCAGTAATGGGATTGCTAGGTCAAATGGTATTTCTTGTTCTAGATCCTTGAGGACTTGCTACACTGTCTTCTACAATGGTTGAACTAATTTACACTCGCACCGACAGTGTAAAAGCACTCCCATTTCTCCACATCCTCTCCAGCATCTGTTCTTTCCTGACTTTTAATGATCGCCATTCTAACTGGTTTGAGATGGTATCTCATTGTGGTTTTGATTTGCATTTCTCTAATGACCAGTGATGATGAGCTTTTTTTCATATGTTTGTTGGCTGCATAAATGTCTTCTTTTGAGAAGTGTCTGTTCTTATCCTTTCCCCACTTTTGTTTAAGTTCCTTGTAGATTCTCAATATTAGCCCTTTGTCATATGGACAGATCGCAAAAATTTTCTCCCATTCTGTAGGTTGCCTGTTCACTCTGATGATAGTTTATTTTGCTGTGCAGAAGCTCTTTAGTTTAATTAGATTCCATTTGTCAATTTTGGCTTTCCTTGTCATTGCTTTTGGTGTTTCAGTCATAAAGTCTTTGCCCATGCCTATGTCCTGAATGATATTGCCTAGGTTTTTTTCTAGGGTTTTTATGGTTTTAGGTCTTACATTTAAGTCTTTAATTCATCTTGAGTTAATTTTTGTATAAGGTGTAAGGCAGGGGTTCAGTTTCAGTTTTCTGCATATGGCTAGCCAGTTTTCCCAACACCATTTATTAGCTAGGGAATCCTTTCCCCATTGCTTGTTTTTGTCAGGTTTGTCAAAGATGAGATGGTTGTTGATGTTTGGCATTATTTTTGAGGCCTCTGTTCTGTTCCATTGGTCTATATATCTGTTTTGGTACGGGTACCATGCTGTTTTGGTTATTGTAGCCTTGTAGTATAGTTTGAAGTCAGTTAGCATAATTCCTCCAGCTTTGTTCTTTTTGCTTAGGATTGTCTTGGCTATACGGGCTCTTTTTTGATTCTATATTAAATTTGAAGTAGTTTTTTTTCTAATTCTGTGAAGAAAGTCAGTGGTAACTTGATGGGAATAGTGTTAAATCTATGAATTATTTTGAGCAGTATAGCCATTTTCATGATATTGATTCTTCCTATCCATGAGCGTGGAATGTTTTTCCATTTGTTTGTGTCCTCTCTCATTTCCTTGAGCAGTGGTTTGTAGTTCTTTTTGAAGAGGTCCTTCACATCCCTTGTAAGTTTTATTCCTAGGTATTTTTTTCTTTTTGTAGCAATTGTGAATGTGAGTTTGCTCATGATTTGGCCTTCTGTTTGTCTGTTACTGGTGTATAGGAATGCTTGTGATTTTTGCACATTGATTTTGTATCCTGAGACTTTGTTGAAGTTGCTTATCAGCTTAAGGAATTTTTGGGCTGAGACAATGGGGCTTTCTAAATATACAATCATGTCATCTGCAAGCAAAGATAATTTGACTTCCTCTCTTCCTATTTGAATACCCGTTATTTCTTTCTCTTGCCTGATTGTCCTGGCCAGAACTTCCAATACTATGTTGAATAGGAGTGATGAGAGAGGGCATCCTTGACTTGTGCCAGTTTTCAAAGGGAATGCTTCCAGCTTTTTTCCATTCAATCTGATATTGGGTGTGGGTTTGACATAAATAACTCTTATTATTTTGAGATACATTCCATCAATACCTAGTTTACTGAGTGTTTTTAGCATGAAGGGATGAATTTTCTCGCAGGCCTTTTCTGCATCTATTGAGATAATTATGTGGTTTTTGTCACTAGTTCTGTTTATGTGATGGATTATGTTTATTGATTTGCTTATGTTGAACTAACGTTGCATCCCAGGGATGAAGCCGACTTGATCATGATGGATAAGCTTTTTGATGTGCTGCTGGATTTGGTTTGTCCATTTTTTGTTGAGGATTTTCACATTGATGTTTATCAGGGATACTGGGCTGAAATTTTCTATTTTGTTGCGTCTCTGCCAGGGTTTGGTATTAGGATGATGCTGGCCTCATAAAATGAGTTAGGGAGGATATTCTCTTCTTCTATTGTCTGGAATAGTTTCAGAAGAAATGGTACCAGCTTTTCTTTGTACCTCTGGTAGAATTCGGCTATGAATCCGTCTGATCATGGGCTTTATTCATTTATTTTTTTTGGTTGGTAGGCTATTAATTACTGCCTCAATTTCAAAACTTGTTATTGTTCTATTTAGGGAAACTTCTTCTTCCTGGATTAGTCTTGGCGGGGTGTATGTGTCCAGGAATTTATACATTTTCTTTCTAGATTTTCTAGTTTATTTGCATAGAGGTGTTTGTAGTATTCTCTGATGGTAGTTTGTATTTCTGTGGGATCAGTGATGATCTCCCTTTTATCATTTTTTATTGTGTCTATTTGATTCTTCTCTCCTTTCTTTTTTGTTAGTCTAGCTAGTGGTCTATCTGTTTTATTAATCAAAAAAACAGCTCCTGGATTCATTGATTTTTTGAAGGGTGTTTTGTGTCTCTATCTCCTTCAGTTCTGCTCTGTTCTTAGTTATTTCTTGTCTTCTGCTAGCTTTTGAATTTGTTTGCTCTTGCTTCTCTAGTTCTTTTAATTGTGATGTTACAGTGCTGATCCTAGATCTTTCCTGCTTTCTCCTGTGGGCATTTAGAGCTATAAATTTCCCTCTAAACGCTGCTTTAGCTATGTCCCAGAGATTCTGGTATGTTGTGTCTTTGTTCTCGTTGGTTTCAAATAACTTATTTATTTCTTCCTTAATTTCATTATTTACCCAAAATTCATTCAGGAGCAGGTTGTTCAGTTTCCATGTAGCTGTGTGGTTTTGAGTGAGTTTCTTAATCCTGAGTTCTAATGTGATTGCACTGTGTTTTGAGAGACTATTTGTTATGATTTCTGTTCTTTTGCATTTGCTGAGGTGTGTTTTACTTCCAATTATGTGGTCAATTTTAGAATAAGTGTGATGTGGTGCTGAGAAGAATGTATATTCTGTTGATTTGAGGTAGAGAGTTCTGAAGATGTCTATTAGGTCTGCTTGGTCCAGAGCTGAATTCAAGTCCTGAATATCCTTGTTAATTTTCTATCTTATTGATCTGTCTAATATTGACAGTGGGGTGTTAAAGTCTCCCACTATTATTGTGTGTGGGAGTCTAAGTCTCTTTGTAGGTCTCCAAGAACTTGCTTTATGAATCTGAGTGCTCCTGTATTGGATGTATATACATTTAGGACACTTAGCCCTTCTTGTTGCATTGATCCCTTTACCATTATGTAATGCCCTTCTTTGTCTTTTTTGATCTTTGTTGCTTTAAAATCTGTTTTACCAGAGACTAGGATTGCAATCCCTGCTTTTTTTTTTTCTTTCCATTTGCTTGGCAAATCTTCCTCCATCCCTTTATTTTGATCCTATGTGTGTCTTTGCACATGAGATAAGTCTCCTGAATACAGCACACTGATGGGTCTTGACTCTATCCAATTTGCCAGTCTGTGTCTTTTAATTGGGGCATTTAGCTCATTTTCATTTAAGGTTAAATTGTCATTTGTGAATTTGATCTTGTCATTATGATGCCAGCTGGTTATTTTGCCCATTAGTTGATGCAGTTTCTTCATAGCATTGATGGTCTTTACATTTTGGTTTGTTTTTGCAGTGGCTGGGACCAGTTTCACCTTTCCATATTTAGTGCTTCTTTCAGGATCTCTTGTAAGGCAGGCCTGGTGGTGACAAAATCTCTTAGCAATTGCTTGTCTGTAAAGGATTTTATTTCGCCTTCACTTATGAAGCCTAGTTTGGCTGGATATGAAATTCTGGGTTGAAAATTCTTTTCTGTAAGAATGTTGAATATTGGCCACCACTCTCTTCTGGCTTGTAGAGTTTTTGCAGAGAGATCTGCTGTGAGTCTGATGGGCTTCCCTTTGTGGGTAACCCGACTTTTCTCTCTGGCTGCCCTTAACATTTTTTCCTTCATTTCAACCTTGGTGAATCTGACAATTATGTGTTTTGGGGTTGCTCTTCTCGAGGAGTATCTTTGTGGTGTCCTCTGTATTTCCTGAATTTGAATGTTGACCTGTCTTGATAGGTTGTGGAAGTTCTCCTGGATAGTACTCTGAAGTGTGCTTTCCAACTTGATTCCATTTTCCCCATCACTTTCAGGTACACCAATCAAACGTAAGTTTGGTCTTTTCACATAGTCTCATATTTCTTGGAGGCTTTGTTCATTCTTTTTCATTCTTTTTTCTCTAATCTGGTCTTCATGCTTTATTTCATTAAGTTGATCTTCAATCTCTGATATTCTTTCTTCTGTTTGATCAATTTGGCTATTGATACTTGTGTATGCTTCACAAAATTCTTGTGCTGTGTTTTTCAGCTCCATCAAGTCATTTATGTTCTTCTCTAAACTGGTTATCACAGTTAGCAATTCCTTTAACTTTTTATCAGGGTCCTTAGCTTCCTTGCATTGGGTTAGAACATGCTCCTTTAGCTCAGAGGAGTTTGTTTTTATCTACCTTCTGAAGTCTGCTTCTCTCCTGCCCACTCCTCCCTGGGCTTCTAGGTCAAGAAACATTTATCGGATACAGTTCTCCAGAACTCATGGCAGTAGCAAAGGCCAGTCTTGTGCTTGCTTGTCTTCGGAGGAATTGTATGGCTGGTGGGCACTGGCAGTAAGGCTGGGGGAGGGGGAGGGGACATCTTAACCTTTAGCACCGCTGAGTTCTAATTCCTTCTGAGCTGCTTTGGGAAATCCCAGAAAAGCTAAATGAGCCGTCAGGAGGCATACAGCAAAGTTGATTTTGGACGGGGTTTCCTAACCTGCCAAGCAGCCTGAGTTCTAAAAGACCTTCAGTCTCCTTTCGTATCTACTAGGCCAAGTCTCCATTTCCTCTCTCAGCCTTCTCTCCAGATGTTTTCTCCCTGGGTCTTGAGCCTCAAGGAGGACCACTTAGTGAGCAGGCTCTCCACTTGGGGCCAAGCAGCTCCTCTTCGCCACCTGACCCTGTGTTTGCCCCGTCAGCCCTGAGCCTGCTGGCTGGCCACTTGCTACACCCCTGCCTTGGGTTCTGGGCCTTCTCCCTATCCTTCCCCACTTCAATTTGCCCTGCCAATGTCCCCTAATGATTCCCAGCTGATCCCAGTCATATCCTCTTCCCAGGGCCTTGGCACTGAGTGCAGACCTTCTCCAGTGGGCCCCTCCAAGAAGCAGCCAAAATAGGAAATTCAGGAAGAATGAAGTAAAGATCTGACAAAGTGGTCAGATTTCTCTGAGGGTAACTTGAGCCACCCTGATTCCCTTCCCTGGGGTCAAAACTCTGGAAAAGTACCCAAGGAAGGGTCTTCGGCTGGTGAACACCTTCTCATGCTTGCCTGCCATGGTGGCTTTGGAACGCCTGCTCTATGTCTAGTCCTAAGCCTTCTTGCTGCCACATTCAGCTCTCTTCATTGAATTTCTGATAATGCTGGATCAGAAGTCTGGTTCTGAAAGCAGTCTGCTGGGTTCAAACCCCAACTTTGTTACTTGCTAGCTGTTTGATCCTGGACAAGTTGCTTTTTTCTCAATGCCTCTGCTTCCTCATCTGTGATAATAATAGTACCCATCACATAGCCTTGCTAAAAGGATTATACAAATTAATCCACACTACAGGCACAGAAAGACACACATCACATGTTCTCTCTTATTTGTGGGATCTGAATATCAAAACAATTGAATTCATGGACAGAGAATAGAGGAATGGTTACTAGAGGCTGGGAAGGGTAGTGGGGAGCTTGGAGGGGAGGTAGGATGGTTAATGGGTACAACAAAATAGAATGAATGAATGTATAAGATCTACTACTTAACAGCACAACCACGTGATATGGCCAATAATAATTTAATTGTGCATTAAAAAATAACTAAAAGAGTATAACTGGATTATTTGGAACACAAAACACAAATGCTTGGGGTGATAGATACCCCATTTACTCTGATGTGATTATTACATACTATATATGTCTGTATCAAAACATCTCATGTACCCCATAAATATATACACCTACTATGTACCCACAAAAATTAAAAATATTTTTAAAACTCATAAATTAATCTACATGAGCTACTTAAAACAGCATCTAGCATTGACCGCTTAATGTCAGTCTTCGGTGTATTATTATTGTAGACAGTGACTCGGACCTTTGTGCAGCCAGGCAGTGAATCTTTGTCATCATCATCCTCCCAATGCCCAGCACAGTTCCAGGCATACAGGAGATGTTTGCTACATGTTTTGTACATGACAGAGTCAAGTATAGACAGATAAGAGTGTCAATTCTACATGCCCTATCTCAGCCAAGGACCTGGGTGTTCTCATGACTAAAGAAGACAGGTAGATACAAGGAAGAGCTTCCAGTCTTCTACTGGGGGCCTGTGTCCACCCTGATCTACCCCAGTCCTGTCAGTCCCCAGACTAGTGGCTCAATGGGCAATCCAGTAGGGCTTATAGGGACTCTGCTTACAAAGGCCATTGGAAATCGGGCAGAGTGGTGTGCACCTATAGTCCCAGCTACTTGGTTACTTGGGAGGCTGAGGCAGGAGGATATATTGTGCCCAGGAATTCAAGACTGCAGTGTGCTATGATTGTACCAGAGCCTGAGTGACACAGCAAGACTCTGTGTCTAAAAAAAGAAAGCCATCAGCAGTAATCAATTCACAGGCTCAGTGGCTCCCACAGGCCACATCCTTGGTGGTGGCTGGGCCAGTGAGATCCAAGGACCCAAGACACAGAATATGGATACAGCGGGCAAAACATGGACTCAGGAGTCAGACTGACTTGGATTTGAATCCCAACTGCAAGTAAGTAATTCTTACTTACTTGCTTTATAGACCCAAAAAGTCATACATCTTCCCGGCCTCAGTTTGCTCGCTTGTGAAATGGAGGTAATAATAACCCCTCCTGTCAGCTTGGCAAGGGCTTAATGAAAAAACTGTGTCAAGCATGCAGCATAGTGCCTGGCCCAGAATTGGCACCAAGGCAGTCACTAGTAGTTCCTGCCTTACCCTGGGGCCCTGAAAGCGAGGAGTGCTGGCTGGAGTGGGGGAAGGCATGCATGGGGTTCTTCTGCCCACAGGGGTTTCCAGATGGTGGTTTTGAGCAGGGTTCCAGGCCAAGGGGCCACAACTGGGGCTCCCAGCCACCTATCCCCTACGCCTTGGCATGGTGGGGCTCTTGGCCTCCTGCCATGGCCGACTATGTAAATAAACCAGCTTTTCGCTGGCTGGGAGCGAGACTGCCCTAAGTGACATTTCAAATTAGTTCTGCTATATTGGGCTTGAGCTCTGAAGGGCCTGGGCATTTTTCCTCCCTAGCTCATCCCTTTCTTGTGAAGTGAGAGCTCTTAAAGCACACCCGGTGTGGGCAGAGGGCCAGGGCGGGGTGGGGGCAGGCCTTCTGAGGTGACCTGCTAAAGCACTCACCAGGCCCGGGGCCACAGCTTCCCTTCCCAGGGAGGTCAGGAGCCCTGCGCCAGGGTGGCCCCCCTCCACACCAGCCCTCCACGGCTGCCATGGCAACCCAGCCTCCTCGTACAGGGCGCACACACCAGCTGGCAGGAATGCTGAACGGAAGGAGGGCTGTGTCGTTGGCCGAAGAGAGGGAGCTGGGCACTGGAGGGGGCACGCGAGGGGTGGGCCAGCTGCGGGCCTGGCAGAGCTGAAAGGGAGATGTGCTAGCCACATGGCCTGCCCGGCTGAGCCCGAGGTTGGGACTGTGCCAGGTGATGAGACTATGGCAGAAGAAGAGAGCCAAGCTCGTGGACACATGCCACTGTCTTTCTGGCAAGGCTTGGCAGCTTCCCTGCAGGGCTGAGGGCAGAGGGCACTGGATTCAAGTTCTTTCTTTCTGGGCAAGTCGTCTTACCCCATTTGGCCTCCGTTTCTTTAGGCTTTAGGTCTGAGAGTGTGAAAGAACTCAGGCTGTGGAGCTGGGCAGATCTGAGGCTGACTCTTGGCCCTCATGCTTAGGCCATTTTACGTTTGTGAGCCTCAGTTGCCTCCTCCATGAGAGAGAAATGATAGTAGCATCCACTTCAGAGCTCTTTGAGGGCAAATAATAAGAGGATGCATGCCAAACACACAGCACAGTGCCCAGGACAGAGTAGGAGCTCAATATGTACTATCTGCTACCAGTATTACTGCTATTCTTTTAAATACATTATTCTGAGTGACAATTTCTGTGTCTGTGTCTGTGTCTGTGTTCTTCATTAGACTGGGAGGCCCTTGGAGGACAGGGACCAGGTTTATTCCTCTCTCCATCTCAGCGGCTCCAAGCTTGGGCTAGCCCAGGGCAGATTCTGGGCAAGGGGGTAATGACAAATACACTTGGGCTAAATGGCTTCCAAACTCCCTTGCAGCTTGGGCAGTCTGTACTTTTAACCCCATGAGTTACAAAGGACTGCCCCTAGAGTGCTGTGTGCCTTGAGCCCATTTCTTTATAACCAATTCAAGTCAACCCAAATCAGCCTGTGAGCGCCATTCTGGCAGCCTAATCTTTCTCATGATCCTGCACAAAAAAGTACTGAGCCAGCGAGCAGGGCTGTCTGCCTGCCAGATCATTCTCTTGGAACTGGGCCCGGCCCCAGAACCCCAGGAAGACACCATAGATGTGAGTCCTGGAGCTCCTCAGGGCATCTGGTTGACTCCATGCATGCTGGCCAGGGATTGTCCCAAAGAGGAAGAACAGAGACTGGGGTGTGCATGGGTCCATATTTGTGCTCGGAGCACTCCACATGAGAGGCACTGCCGGCCCTGACTGATACTAGGCACCAGAGAATAAATGAGAACATCAGGAGGAAGGCCCTCCAAAGCAAGAGGGCCCTTGAGTGGTGGGGCTGGGGTAGGAGCCCTGTTTGCATGGGGCTATAGAACATACTGCTCCAAGGTGACAGTCACTGAGCCAAGCTGATTTGAACTCTGGCCAAAGGAGCCTTAGTCTTTCATGCTATGGGTTGCCCATGCCTGGGATTCTAATTTTCTCTGGATCTCCTACCACACCTCAGCCCAGACTACTGGCCTGGTACTGCTGGTCTGAGCAAGGCTAAGCAAGAGATTCCCATGGCTGGCTAGCAGGAAGGATGGCAGGGGAAGGGGCAGTAAGACTAGTACACCAGGCAGTGGAGAAGGGGCTGCTGCCGCACCAGCAATGAGTTCCTTCAGGTCTAATGGCTTAGTCATCCACAGTCAGGCACTGGTGCCAACCATCCTGGGTCCTCCAAAGGACTGGAGGAGGTTCCTCCAAGGACTGCCTGTGGAAACCAAACCAAAGAGGGCCTGAGGGCAAGGCTTTCTTAGGCTGCAAAATCACAGCCAGCCACTGAGGGCCACCCGTAGCACAGGAAAGCTGAACACAGCTACTTCCCATGGCAGATGCCATGTAAGCCTTGGGAACTTGGCAGGAATGAGGGAGGAAGGACTAAGAAAAAAGCATGAAGTCGGATGGCGGATGGTGGGAGCCAGGTTGCTCACTGTTGGAGTGAGAGTGTACAGGTAAGCAAGAGAGAAGGCTGGAATGATTCATGTGGCAATGCATTAGAGTGGAAGACATAAGTATGAACTCATGTTTAGCTTAATATAGGTACAGATGGTTATGCAGATAAATATTTATAGATATGTGTATATATGCTAATTGGTATATATACATATATCTCCTTAATCTCTTAGCCAAGCGAGCCCAGTAGCAATGAACACATCCAGTGCCCAGATCTTGGTTTCTAATACCATTTTCATATAAAAGGAATCAGAGCTCCTCATGGAAATGGTTGATTCCAGTGCTGGAACAGAAAATATACAAGATGAGCCTGGAGCATCTTGTAGTACTAGAAAAAAAGTATTATACTAAAAAAATAAAACCCACAATGGTGGGATTATGTCAAAGGGATATAGGAGCCAGCTAAAAGAGCTCCCAATGGCCAAAACTGGAACAATTTGAGCAACAAAATAAATGATGTAGCGTTGGATTATAACCCAAAGTATAAAACAAATATCTATGAGTCTATAGTGATATAAATAAATGATCAAATAAATAAATACTTGGAGGAGAATAGGCGAGTCTCCCGTGTAGAAGAATTAGAAATAATTTATGTAAATCTTGCTCCCACAAGGAGAAGGAGCATATCTTCCCATTCCGCATTCCTTAAGAGGGGCTGCACATAGTGACTTCCCTCCGAAGAGTACAATATGGAAAGCGGAAAAACAAAGAGTAACTTTACAACAAAGAAAACTGTCAAACACTACCTCTCCCAGGTGATCAAGGTCAACAACAATATGATAAGTCATATTGATCATAAGTGCCCTTGATACGACGTGATGAGAATGGCACTTCACCTCTGTGGTCTTCCTCCCTAAAATTCATAACCCCAGTCTGATCATGAGAAAAACATCAGACAAATCCTAGTTGAGGGATGTTCTAAAAATACCTGACCAGTACTCCCCTAAAACTATCCAGATCATTAAAACAAGGAAAGTCTGAGAAACTGTTGCAGCCAAGAGAAGATTAATGAAGCATGATGACTGAATGTAACTGAGTATCCTGGGACAGAAAAAAGCAGGTAAAAATGAAGAAAATCTGACTTTAATCAGTAGCAATGTATCAATATAGGCACATGAATTGTGACAAATATATCATCCTAGTGGAAGATGCTAAGAACAGGGGAAACTGGGTGCAGGGTATATGGGAACTCTCTGTATTATCTTCTCTGTATTTTTTTTTTAATAAATCTTAAACTTTTCTAAAATAAAAATGGTGTTTGAACAAAAAGAGCATGAAGTGTTCGGTTTGAGTCCCATTTCTGCCCCTCCTGACTGTGTGGCTTTAAGAAAGTTATAAGCCTTTCTGAGAGTGTTTCCACTTCTATAAAATGAGAGAAATCATTTTTCCTCTCCAGGCTTCCAGGAGAATCAGAGGAGGTAATTTAAGGCAATGTGCCCAGACAGACGTAGGCATTCAGTACCTGCTAATCTCCTCCTTCTCTCAATCTTCACAGACCCTAGCATGAAATAGATGAGAGAACTTAAGCTCAGAGGCAGAGGGGCTTGCCCAAAGGCATATAGCTAGGACATGGAGAAACCAAGATATGCTGTTTCCTCTAAGGCGTATCGGTAAAGCTCGGACTACATTGGGAACTATTGAAGCGTGGTTGGGAAAGCTAGCTGTCTGCCTGAGGGCCTCAGGGCCTCTGAGAGGCAGCCATTTCCTCTGAGAAACTGTAAAAGGTAGTACAGCGTAATGGTTAGGTGTGTGGTGCTTAGGATCAGGCTGCTTAGTTCAAGCCTACTTCCCCACTGTGTGGCTCAAGCAAGTTGTTTCACTTCTTTGATCATTAGTTTCCTCACCTGTAAAATGATACTGTTAATAGTATTTACCTTTTAGCACTGTTGTTGTGAAGGCTAAATTTGTTAATCCATGTAAATAAGGTATTTAGACTAGCACCTGGCACATGATAAATGCTTAGTAAATCCTAGCTATCATTATCTGCAGAACAGAGGTCATGGAGGGGCAGTTAAGTTTTTCTAACAGCCCTTCCAAGTCTTCTATTGTGGTGGATGGGGTGGGAGAGATGCCACTTTCTTTGAAAAGACCTTGGCCAGGTGCAGTAGCTCATGCCTGTAATCCCAGCACTTTGGGAGGTTGAGGCTGGCATATCACCTGAGGTCAGGAGTTCAAGACCACCCTGGCCAATGTAGTGAAACTCCATCTCTACTAAAAATACAAAAATTAACCTGGCATGGTGGTGCCTGCCTGTAGTCCCAGCTACTCAGGAGGTTGAGGCAGGAGAAGAGCTTGAACCAGGCAGGCGGAGGTTGCAGTGAGCCGAGATTGCACCACTGCACTCCAGCCTGGGAGACAGCTAGACTCTGTCTTAAAAAAAGAAAAAGAAAAGGGAATACCTGACTTTTCCCATAAAATAATAAACACTTGTTAGCATATCAGTCAATGAATAAACCCTTTGTAGCCTGAAATTTGGAGGAAGCTTTGAAATCATCAATATCATTTTAGATGGGTCAACTGAGGCCCAGAAAGGGAAAGGGACTGGCCTCAGGTTGCTCTGCGAGTCAGTGGCTGAGTTGAGTCAAAATGCAAAGCTCCTGGTTCCCTTTCCTAGATTCCTGCCACTCTACCAAGTTGCTGCTATGAGTCATTAGAGAATAACTACAGTTCCCAATCCTGTGCTAGGCGCTATGAAAGAAGAGAAGAAAAAATATATAGACCATGCTGCTACTTTTACTTAAAAAAAAAATTTTTTTTTGAGATGGAGTCTCGCTCTGTCACCAAGCTGGAGTGCAGTGGCTCAGTCTCAGCTCACTGCAACTTCTGCCTCCTGGATTTAAGCGATTCTCCTGCCGCAGGCTCCCAAGTTGCTGGGACTACAGATGTGTGCCACCACGCCCAGCTAATTTTTGTATTTTTAGTAGAGTCAGGGTTTCACCATGTTGGCCAGGGTGGTCTCGATCTCTTGACCTCGTGATCCACCTGCCTAGATTTTCACAGTTTTAAAAGAAGCTTTGGGGACTAAGATTATCATGTTTACTTGGAGAAAAAGATGACAAAAATCAATTCATAGAAATGCTGGCTTAGGTACTCTAGCCAGGTCACACTGAGGCTATCAGCAGGAGTGAGATCAGAGAGGGCTGCAGTTTTCTGGGAGACTCAGTGCTAGATCTGGACCGTGAAGGCTGGCAGGCTGGATGCAGGCAGAGAACATGGGGTAGGGTACTTTGCTAGGGTGGGGAGACCACAGAGGTGAAGCCTAGTGGTGGTGTATGGGGAAACAGGCTCTTGTACCATTTACTAATTTCTGTAATATAAATACTACCACCATGGCCATTCTTAAGCTACCAATAGTTTAACATCCTGCATGTAAATTTCTTGAATATTTAATAACCAGCTCTCAATTCCAGCATACCGCTGCCTACAGATAAGAATTGGTTGTTTTCAGGGCAGTAGGAGCCGGGCCTTGCAGGGAACAGAGTGTTGGGATGGACTAGTTGGCTAGGGTGAGGCCAGCTCAGGGAGCAGCTGGGTGTCCAGCAGCAGGTCACATGAAGATTTATGTATTAGCTATTGAGCTGTGTTCTTTGCTGGGCTCTGTGCCAGATAGTTAACATGCATTATCTCATTTAATTCTCATGACAGCCTTAAGAAGTGTTCATTTATTCACTACTGCAACCATCTACCTATTCGTCTGTCTATCTAACAATTCCATGGTGAACACAGCCCCTACTGTGTGCTGAACATTATCTGTGGCACAGTGGTGATGAAAAGAGAGTCATTATCCTCACTTGAATGGAAGGAAACAGACAATAAATACATTTTTTAAAGGAATAAAAAATAATGACCAATTGTCATGTTTGGAAGGAAACAAAAGAAGTACTGAATACAGAACAAAAGTGATACTGCAGTTATATCTCTGAGTAGGTAATATTTAGGGATGAGAAGAAGTCAAAAATGCACATGCGGCTGGGGTCAGAACATTGAAGTGGTAGGAACAGCAAGCACAAAGGCCCTGAGGTAGAAAGGAGGTCAGTTTGTTTCAAACAACATTGAGACCAACATGGTGAATGAGAGAGTGTGGCCTCAAAGGAGGCCAGGGAGGTAGACAGGATAGACAGGGGTCCAGTTATGCAGCTTTGCAGGCCACAGTGAGGACTTTGAAGGACTTAGGGCTATCACATGAGCTGTCTCATGTTTATCCAGCTGATTCTGGCTACAGTGTGAAGAGTGGATTACAGAGAAGTAGGAAGCAGACAGGGAAGCCAGTTAAGGTATTGGGTTTCCAGGTGAGAGTTGGGATGCTAGGTCCGGAATGGTGGGAGTAAAGACAGACAAAGATAAAGAGGGACGTGGCCAAGATCATATACCTAATAAATGGCAGAACCTGGATTGAAATTGAGGCTCCACAGTTTATGCTTCTTCCTGTACCCCAAGCAGTCTCATGGAAATTAAATTTGCTGTTTAGGGCCTCAAAACTTAGGAAAAATGTCAGAGCAGAGTAATGCCATGATGGAAGACAGATGTATTTCTTTATGTAGGTTTTGTACTTCAATGACTTGCTACTCCAATGACCATAGACCTCCACTGGAACATGAGCTCCCTGAGGGCAGGAGTCTGAGTCATCCAGGATTTCCATCCCAGAGCCTTGACTCATGGGGGAGGAGTCCCTGAATCAAAACATGACCAACTCTGGCACTGTGCAAGCTCTGGCTGTGCCCAGTTGGGTCCATCCTGGAAAAGCTGCACCACAGCAAAGGCAAGCCACTGCCTATCCAAAAGCCCCTCTCTGAACAGCACAACCTTCCTGTAGGGGCAGCAGTAGCCAAAGAGAGTAGTCCTGGCCTTCGAATTAGATCCAGGCCCAGCTCCTCTGCTTCCCTGTGGTGTGAACTCAGACGAGGACCTTAACTTCTGTGTATCTCCTTTTCCTTGTCTATGAAATGAGGCAACGAATACCTCCTATCTCTGAAGGTCATTGTGAAGATCGAATGAGATCATGTAGAGAACGTGCTTAATGCACTACCTGGCACATAGTAGGCTCTCAAGAGTCTTCTTACCTTCATCCAAGATGGGTGAGGAGTTAAGAACCCTGTGCCTGAGGTGTCACTAAGTTTGAGGTTCCTGAGGTGTCCCAAGTCCAGTCATGGGAGGTTAGCAGCTGAGAGAGATGACTAAGGAAACAAGCACCTTTCCCACCCCTTCCCCACCTGTCTTCCACTCCCCATCCCTTCCTCTCCCCTAATCCCCCTGTCTTGAGCACCTGGGAGTTGCCTAATTAGAGCTAATTAGCTTATCTGGCAATAAAACCCCAATGATGGAAAGGCTCTGGAGCTCAGGCCTCTGACAATAATCATGTTAAGTAGATATTTATTTATCCCTTTATTAAGCAAGGCAACTAGCATGTAATATCTGAGAAGCTGATTTTCAGGCCTGGGAGCTAAGCATGTGCTGTCAAGAGTCGAATGCCCCACTTGGGGCCAGCCTACTTGGGGCTCTTCCTCTTCGGTGTCTTGTCCTCCCTGACCCCCAAAGAAGCCAGATCATAGGGTGGCAGGGTTGCAAGAGTCACCGGAAACATCTGTACAGATTGGAGACTGAGGCCCAGAACAGGAGTAGGAGCTTGCCCAAGGTCACACAGCGGGATGCAAATGATACCTGAGAAGATAGAATATCCGAAGCAGTCATTTAAAGGCAATCTGCCCTGCACAGTGGGATTCAT